GGCATGCATACATAAATAAATATGTTCATGCAACAGCAATGCATATATACTTGTATATTTGTTGTTTAATAAATACTCACTCCTATTTCTCATCTTGAAGCATAAAGACTTTTATATTTTTGATTCTCGGCTTTCAAAATGCCTCAGGGCTTTGAACGAAATCAGAAGCTGTTCACGCTTTTAGTCAACACATGGATTATGATGTTATTGTTGTTGCTGAGACTTGGCTTAATGATGTTTTCTTCGATAGTGAGTTTTTTGACACAAAAATGTATAATGTTTATAGGAAGGACAGAGACTCTGCCAAAACGGGCTATGTAAGAGGTGGTGGTGTTCTCATCGCAGTGCAACAAAAGCTACCCTCCTACTCTTTTATGCAGGGCAGGAAAATAATGATACTCTTCTGGATCAACTGTGTGTCTGCGTGAGTGGGTTGCCTTCACATGGCTTGCTTTTTTTTTGTAGTATCCTACATTCCACCAAATAGCAATGATAACTTGTATCGTGCGCATGCTAACAATGTCATTTCTCTAGCTCATAAGATAGGAGACAATCATATATGTGTATTAGGTGACTTTAACTTATCTAATGTACGCTGGTCAAAAGCATTCTCAACTTATGGTCTCACGTCAATGAATGTCACTAATATTCATGAGTCTCTTCTCATCGACAGTTTTTTAAGCCTTAATCTAATACAAGTAAATAGCTATGCTAATAAATTGGATAGAATTCTCGATATTATTTTTGTCAGTGATAATATAAATACAGTAAAACCCGCTTAAGTACCTCACGAAAAATGTCAGCTTTTGAGGTACTTAGGCGGGTTGGGTACTTAAAAGAACCCGCTTAAGTACCTCGATGCGGGTACTTAAGCGAACATAATTACTGATGTAGTTACTTCTTCTTGTTAACTTACATAATTACTTGAATAACAACATCTAATGAAGTATACATAGTTTAAAACCAAAATCGTAGCATTATTTAAACACATAAACCAGTAAAGAAAAACTTTATTAAACAAATATTTAGTGCATTGATCTGTAATTTTTACAAGAAGTAAATTATTTAAAGTCAAGGTTGCACATATCACTTTGTACCAAATTAAAAATGATATTGTTTGCCACTTATGTTTATTTATTAATTTTTAATGTTTTTCAATCAATTAAAATGCAGTTCATTCCCTAACAAATACCATATAAACCTAAGCTTAAGATTTTGTAGAACGCTTAAAAAATGCATCATAATTTCAAACTTTTTTCTCAGAAGAGTTTTTTGAGTATACAGTTTTATAGCCCATTCAATTTAGTGCAATAATGTGCAAGTTGCAAGTGGCTAAAAGTTACCGTTGACTTTTTAAAATTTTTTTACCGAATTTGAAAATACGTAAATATTTTAAGGAATTTTAAAAGAGCACTTAAAAGGGGAAAATTAAGTAAAATTGTAAATGGGGCACGAAAAATTGAGGTACTTAGGCGGGTTGGGTAAATAAGCGGGGAGGTACTTAAGAGAGGGATTTTCTTCTGATTATATTAAAAAATTCACGGTGTCCAAAAATTTTGGTTTCTTAAGCGGGTTAGGTACTTAAGCGGGGGGGTACTTAAGCGGGTTTCACTGTAGTAAGATTGAAGAATGCTTTTCACCTATATCCCCTACTGATATGCATCATGTTTCTGTAGCTCTTAATTTTGAATTTTATAATATTCCTTCTTCTACTTTTGGAAGTGATGCTTCTTTTAACTACAAAGCCTGCGACTTTTTAATGTTAAATAGCCTACTTCTGAAGCTTGATTGGGAAGAGTTACTCTCCTCCTCTGATGTTTCAGAATGTTATTATGCTTTTAAGACAGTTCTGTCTGAGTTTTTGTATGAATAACATTCTAATTTTAATTAAAAAGCCTTATAAGTTGCCGTGGTAAAATCGAAAACTAAAAAGCCTAAAGAATCTTAGAAATTATTTTTTTTTTTAATTTAAGAAAACCGGTAGCCAAAATTTGTTTGCCAAATACCAGAAATATCTCAAAGCTCAGTATATCCAGTAAACAAACTTAGCAACTTTTTTCCACCAAATTTGGTCCCCATAAAGGACTAGTGTTGCAAGCAACGCTTTTTCGTCAAAAAGGGAGTTGTGCAGCCATTTTATGTGGTGAAAATTATTTTAGCACTGGAAAAATGGATAGAAAAATATTGCAGTGCGATTGAACATCTCAGGTTTAGCTGAAATATAAATGTATTAAGAATAATTATTTTTCTAATAAATTTTTTTTTTTATTTTACTGTGTCGAGGTCGTTGAACAAATATTTGTATGTTAGTATTTAAGTTAATTGTGAAATATATGGATGGAAAATTTCCGTAAGCGTTATTTTGACAGTTTTTAGTTAGCACTTATATATTTTAAAATCAGATATTTCGCTTTTTTGTTGACAGTTTTTTTGATATCTAATTGATCAAGATCTTTCAAATAGCGTCATCTGTTTTTAAATATCTGCTTTAGTTTCCGACATATTCAGCCTTATCATGAGTTTCATTTTCTCGAACCGGGCCACCTTTTCACTTTTCGTTTCCGTGTATTCACTACGGGTGGGTGAAAACATTTCTGGCGAATTTTTTTTTTGGGCGAGACTCACGATTAGGCTGATTAGTGTAAAGTATCGTTAATTTATAAAAAATGTTATCACATTTGGCGTATACGAGAAAATTTTATTAAACTCATAAATGGTTGACAGTAAATTAAAAAATAAGATAATTTAAGAATTTCGTGAACTAGTACATAGCATTCTCCGACACTTTGGAGAAAATATGTAGTCGAGTTTCTGAGATATTGCATTCCAAACTTCAGTTGTGATTTCCCGAAACCTGCCGAAAGTAACATGCAACGATCTTTTATCTAGGCGACGATATAACATTTAGCTAAAATATGCACTAAATAAATTATAAATGTCATTAGTTGCGATCCTGTACGAGTCCGGACTGGTCAGAAATAGTCAGAATCAGTCAGATTTTACTGGAAATCGATCCCGTACTCGGTTCTCTGACTATTGAGAGAACAAAATAGAGACTAAATACGGTTCTCTCTTTGTCAGAAGTTACCAGTTTTAGTCCGAGAATTGTTTGCTGGTAAATGTGTCAAACGATCAGCTGTAGTGAGTTTGGCAACCAAATTGTAAACAAAAGAAAAGTGCACTCTGCTAATTCATATTGAAAAGTATTTAATTACTTGTTTAAGTGGATTCTAATGAATTTGAAAGTACTTTTGGTTATTTACATGTGAGAGCTATGTGTGTTTACATACAAAATAAGCAAAAATTTACAACCAAAATTTGGAGGTTATGTTGAAGTTGACAGAAGTTACTATTTTTTACTAGAAAGCGATCCCGTACTTTTCAATGTTACGCTCTGAGCGAATTTTTCTTTTTTGACAGTTTTACTAGTCCGAGTCCGAGGAATACGGGATTGCACCTATTATTTTCGCAGTTGAAGTATATGCCAGGCGAGAAACAGGTAAATACATACATATGTAAGTATACCTAAATTACCATGTTGAGCTTGTAGCAGGACCAATACCCGACGCAGTTATGTCGTTATTTAATAACGGCTCTATGACAAAATATTCAAGAAATATATTCTTAGATTATATTTCATACATTAATATTGACCTGATTTTTTTTTAATAAATAGCAGGAATAAATATTTAATAAAAAACTATTTCACTTAAGCTTAACCAACTTTTAGTTGCTCGGAGCTAATTTTGGAACGCTTCATGAAATATTTTCATAGACGGTAAATGCAATCCTGGGTGCATCGTCAATGAGCTGAAAAACTAAAACAAATTAAATTTGTGGAATGGAGCCATTTGAAATGGCCTTTACAAACGGCAATGGAATTCCGAAATTATTCAAGGAATCGTGAATATAAGCTGCCTTTCATTTGGCTTATTTGCGGGTTAAACTTTCAGAAAGTTACAAAAAAAAAAATTCTTTTTTTATATATTATATATTTTAGAAATAAAAATACTCCACCTTGTACTCCAAAAAATTTCTTTAAACTATCTTGCGCATGCAGTTTGTTGATCTTATCTTCACGGTTACCGAAATCACCAACCTCAACGTAGTGATTAGCCCTCTTGCACCAGCCACCGGTTTGTGTTGAGCTTGAATGGCCACAGGTAGTTGGATGCTTTCTTGAAGTGGGATCCAACTGTGAATATTTGGTGCGCTAAATAATCAACACACTTAATCTCGTGCGCTTTGTGCAATTTGCGTTCGATCACAAAGTTGTCAGAGATTGGGCCACGTTGATGGTTGTGCTTGGCAATTCCACGTTTGTAGACCAATTCACGAAATGATTTAAGATTTGGATAACCCCATGTGATATAGGATTCGGCAATGCGTAGCATATTAACGGTTAAATTTGATGAACAAACCGTGGTTAATGTGGCGAAAACGGAACAACTTGTCGCACTTTTGGTGCAACTTTGTTGATACCGCGGATACAGATCACAAAAGCCAAATTTTCTTCCACAGGCACTTAGAATGAGCCGCGTTTCTTTGCCAGGTGGCGCAACTTATTCTCACGGCGTCCATCACGGAGACATTTTGCTTGATATTTCTCAGATGCAACAAGTTTTCACGTTTGCGGAGTGCAATCACAGCAGAGCGCTTTAGTTTACGCTTGATCAGGGTAGCACGTTTGCTGACCTGCTTCTTGCTGAACTTTAGCTACGACTCGGGGACAGCAGGCAGCTTCCTGGAAGGTTGTTTGCCCTTTCCTTCGGGCTTCCTACCGGCCGTGGTGGCAGTCATCTTAACTTGTAACTTATCACGTTCACCAAATGTTTGGAGCACATCTTAACTAACGCCACTCGATTAATAACATTTCTTTTAAACACAATTTCATTTAATTAATTACTTTTTTAATACATAGATATGCTGCAACCAGGCACTTACTTTCCCAAATTGTATCTTGCTTATCGGCATAATTTTAAAAAAGTGTGCCTGCGCTGCTACTTCTTACTAATCACTTCATTTTCCAACTGCGCCTTCTTTTTTGCCTCAACATATCCTAAAAAGACATAAAATTTACATTAAACAATAGAAATCGAAAAAATTAGCAAATAAAATACTCACTTCGTTTTGTTGTCAATTTCTGAGCAATGTGAATTCACCACGATGCAATACAGAAAGAAGAAGGACCAGGGATGTAATTTTAAGTAAACCTATTATTCAGTGGCAATGCGCAGAGCGTCCCGAGTGGCAAAATTAATTTGCATCAAATATAACATTAAACGGTGGTTCTAATCCATTTTTCATATTATTAATCAGAGTATATACATTATATGGCATTTCTTTCAAAAATTAATGCACTATACGCATATTTTTTTTTAATATTTCTTAAGTTTCTTTCGTTGGTGCTGAAAAGGAACCATGCGTGTAAGAATTGTAGTACCTAAAATTTCACCTCTGGAAACTTTATCCCATAAAGGACTTCACCACAGTTTTTTTTACTGGATATACTGAGTCTCAAAGAGTTTAACTGTTTGGATAAATTTCTTTACAGGAACTACGTACTTGGCGTGGAGTCGAATATTAAATCTAATCCCAAAGCATTTTGGAGTTATGTTAAATCTAAAAAATCTAGTTCTAGTATACCTTCAGCAGCATTTCTCGAGGGAAAGTTTGCTAGTAACCGTACTGGCGTTGCAAATCTATTTGCTGAATTTTTTAGTTAAAATTTTTCTAGTGACAGGGTTCGTAGTTTCGATCTAGATTGTTCAACTAGCTGCCCTCTCAATTTTAGCTCGTTGAATTTGTCTTCGGATGATGTCTCGTATGGGATCGCCAAGGTTAAACAGTCATTAAAAACTGATGTAGATGGCTTTTCTGCATTTTTAATTAAAAACCTTCCAGCTTTGTTTTTACTATTACGTATTGTTTTAAATAAGTCTCTTGCCTCAGGTACTTTCGTTGACGATTGGAAAGTTACGTATCTTAGTCCCTTGTTTAAAATTGGCAATAAAAACAATGTCTGTAACTATAGACCTATTGCCAAGCTTTCAACTATTTCTAAAGTTTTTGAAAATATTGTTGTGGAAAAGATAAGTTTTGCGACCAAGAGCTTAATCTCCCAAAATCAACAGGGTTTTGTGTCCAACCGTTCTACAGTTTCGAACTTAGAGGTCTTCAGTGAGTACTGCATGTGTACTGTAAAGTGTCTCATTCTATTTTAATTAGTAAATTAGCTAGCTACGGATTTTTTAAGTTTTTCTGCAATGAGTTAAATCTTATCGGTCCAACAGGCGATGTGTAGTCACTAGTGATGGCACATCTTCCACATCTTTTATTGCTTCTTCTGGGGTTCCTCAAGGAAGTAGTTTAGGTCCTTTACTTTTCGTTCTGTTTATTAACGATATAAGGACCTGTTTTTCCTCCGCTAATTAATTGCTATATGCGGATGATCTAAACATTTTTTCTTCCATGAAATACCTGAGTGACGTGCATAAACTTCAAACTGATCTTGATAGTTTGCATCTTCGGTGTACTAAAAATTACCTGTCTTTGAATATTAAGAAATGCTTCAAAATTACTTTTGGAAAAACTCGTGTTTTGTCTACTCGTTACAATATTTGTAACTGTTTGCTAGAATATGTTTAAGAAACAAAAGATCTTGGCATTATTCTTTCATCGAATTTCACATTTAATAGTCATATTGACCANAATAAAAACAATGTCTGTAACTATAGACCTATTGCCAAGCTTTCAACTATTTCTAAAGTTTTTGAAAATATTGTTGTGGAAAAGATAAGTTTTGCGACCAAGAGCTTAATCTCCCAAAATCAACAGGGTTTTGTGTCCAACCGTTCTACAGTTTCGAACTTAGAGGTCTTCAGTGAGTACTGCATGTGTACTGTAAAGTGTCTCANATTATTTAAATTTTGTTTATGTAATTATAGTTGTTGTGACCTTTTTAGGTAAAATTAAGCTCCAAAAAATTTGATTTACTTGAAATGATTATGTGAAATCCCATTAAAAAAGAATAAAATAAAGTTTCATAAAGTAAACTAAAAAAATGTTTATATTAAAAATATTAGTAACATTAAAAAAATTTGTTTGGAGTGGGGACCGAACCTGGGTGCTACTGCGTTTACTACTTCATCAGCAAAACAAAACTTAGAGCCTTATTTTACCATTTCTCCTCATTTTAAAGTCAAAACTCTGTTTTTGCCATAAAATGCATTTTAAGTTGACTATGAAAGAGTTAAAATGGTGATTACTATAAAACACAACTTAAATCATTAAAACCTTTTTCTAATTTCTCTATGACTACGTGCAAATTTTGTGTCCAATAGGACATAGTAATATTCTTAACGAAATTTTTTGAAAATTTCATGACTGCTATAAAACTTGAAAAGGAGGACAAGGAGGACATTTTTGCTCAAAAGGAGGACAGAGAAGGACAATATTTTTGAGGAGGGCAAATCACGTTTGAGGAGGACAATCCTCCTCAAAGGAGGACGGTTGGTCAGCTTATCCATATACCCCTAAACTGCTATATACGTCCTTCGTGCGGTCCACTTTGGAATATGGTACGTTCATTTGGAGGCCGCATCGTAATAATTCCATTAGTCGCATTGAGAGTGTTCAGAAAGTGTTCCTTAAATTCGCTTTGCGATCTTTGAATTCTTCTGAACCAACGCCTTCTTATAATTCTCGTTTGCTTCTAATAAACCTTAAGGCCTTAGAAGCTAGGAGATCTGTACTCTCACTCTCCTTTATATTCAATGTTGTTAGAGGCTCTTTGGATTTTACTTTTTTAACGGACCGTATCAATTTTAATATTCCGCAGAGGAATTTACATGTCTTTTTACCTTTTTATGAGGGCTCTTGGAAAACTGAGTATGGACGTAATGCTCTAGTTGCACGCGCACTTAGTGATTTAAATAAGATCTTGGGTTCTTTCTCAATTGATTTTTCCTTTGAAAAACATGTATTTGTTATTATTCTGAACTGTTATTTTTAATTTCCTTATTTTACTGTACATTTGTACATTGTATTTATCGAAAGCTCTTAGTAATAACTCTCAGTTTGCATATATTCTGTAAGAATATTGTATTTCGTAGACTAAGTCAAGTTGAACAAATAAACAAATTAAACACATAAACAAATATAATTTTAATAATTTACAATTGTAATGCCGATGTAATAAAAATTGGTAAATTTTTTTACCATTTGGTCCATTTTTTGGTCCGAAAAATAAATTGGAAATGGCAACCGTGGCTGGCTGCTTTGGCTTGTGTTACTGTGGCTTATTGTATGGCTGGCTGCTTTGGCTTGTGTTGTTGTGATTTATTGTGTGGCTGGCTGCTTTGGTGGCGGGTATTTGTGTGGGCCAAATTCTTCAGGGATATTTGGTCCTCACAAAGTCAACGATATTTTGTAGACATATGAAACTTTACTATACTAAACTTTATTATACTAAAATTGCATGGGCTATAAAAATGCATACGCAAACCTTTTCCCAAAAGTCTTAAAAAAGTGTAAAAATTATGCGAAAATTCGCTGAATTTTTATATTTTCACAAAGTTTGAAATGTGAATTTGTATGGTGTTTGTTATAGAATGAACTATATTTTTATAAGAAAATACTTACAAAATAAATAGTTGTTTTGTATTGGATTAAACAATCCTCGTTCCAATAATAATGTTATTTTTTTAATATCTAGGTTAGGGATGCCAGACATCCAGGTTTTTTAGGATTTGCCCTGATTTAGACAAATTGTCCTGGAGTCCTGACCCACACTTAAATCGTCCTGATCTTTTGATGAAGGTCAATGCAGACACTCCTCTAATTTTTAGCAGATTTTTGCGATAAAAAAAGGTTAAGCCTTCTGTCATTAGTAGTCGAAAACTGATAACAAAACGTTTTTTCTGTTTTGTTTATTTGGTTAAAATATTTTTTTTCAGGCAAAAGTGCAAGTTCATGATCAGGTACATCAGAACCAAAGCCACTTTACTTATAGGAACATATTCGCACCATATTCACTTGTATCTTCGTTTTTGATTTGGATGATGTCTTAGTCGATGGGTTCAGGATTATGGCAGCCGTAATCTAGGTATGTTAAATTAAAATAGATCCCTAGTTCTTTTCCAGCACGTCGAGATTTATTTTTATTGATGACATTTACTTACTGTTAGAATTTTTAGCCATTTTCATGAAAGTTAATTAATTTAGAATAGAATTTTTACTTAAAAACCAATAGTATTAGTAATAATACTCATAAAGAGCCTAAGTAAATCAGAACGACTTATGTTATTGATTTATTTATTTATTCATTTAGTCTACAGAAAAATGTTTTCTTACTATATTTAAGTATGTATGATATATTACAGAATGAACTAATTATACATATTAACTTGTAAAGATAATAATGATATACAATAGCAATTTGGGTAGCTGGCGATGCCTAGTCTCCAGTCTACTTTTGTTTGCGGCGGGCGGATAGACCTAGTTTCCGCTCCGCGCTGTTTACAGGCCGTTGATCATGGTCGGAAAGGCCGAGCTTCCGATCCATGTTCCCGTAGTCATTACTTTGTATGTGAGGCAGGCGGAAAGTCCTAGTTTCCGCTCCGCGCTATAGACGAACTGTTGGGCGTGGTCGGAAAGGCCGAGTTTCCGATCCCTGCTCGTATTGTCCTACGCGGTCGCGAAAATATACGAAGCCGTTACAATTGTACTAATCAGTCATAGATTTGTGTAATTTTTTCGTTGACGGTTACAGATATTAGTTTATTTAGTTAACTTGTTGAGCAAAGTTTTCTTTATTACAAAAAGCGATTCAGATTTGTCGAAGCAATCATAATGTTTGTTAAAATCTTGGCATAAACACCGAAAAGNTCGAAAATGCAGGTTAGGTCAGCTTGCAAATGCTCCCTATCTTCTGCAGTACTAATGTACTTAAAGAGCTTAACATCATCAGCGTACATTAAGCATTTCGAGTAATTCAACACCTTAGCAAGGTCATTTATAAATTAAATAAACAATACGGGACCAAGATGGCTGCCCTGAGGTACGCCGGACGTGACATTGCCGGGAGGTAAATTTTTTAAAAATGACTCTTTGTTTCCTATCCACTAAGTAAGAAGAAAGCCAGCTGAGAAGAATAGGAGGGAAACCAATTCGATCAAGTTTATATATAAGGGTTGAATGAGATACCTTGTCAAATGCCTTGCTGAAATCAGTGTAAATCACGTCCGTTCGAAGATTGTTTTTAAACCCATTAGACACATAAGTAGTGAATTCAAGAAGATTGGATACAGTTGATTTACCTTTGCAAAAACCGTGTTGCGATAGATCAATAGCAGAAGTAATAGAGTGAGATAGTTCTTCCGTAACGATTGCCTCAAAAACTTTAGCAATAGCACAAAGCTTCGCAATTCCTCTATAGTTTACGATGTTAGTCCTACTTCCATTTTTATAAAGTGGCAAGATAAACGAATCCTTCCAGGAAGATGGGAAGACACCCTGTTTTAGGGAAGCATTAAAAATATTTGCCAGAGGCTTATACAAATACTCTGCACAACTTTTAAAAACACTTGTGGGTATAGCGTCTGGGCCAGCTATATATGAAATTTTCAAACAATTCAAATGAATGAGGACATCCGCAGCAGTTATCGATGGAATTCGGATGCAATCAAATGATGGCAGAAAGAATGGGTAGCTAGATAGATTCGAATTTAGTTGGGAAGATGTAGAACTGGCAGAGTAGTTTGACTCGAAGAAACCAGCAAACATATCGGCAATAATATTTTCGTCACTGGAAACTAAGTCATTTAACTTCAATGTTGAGGGATAACCGTTAGTCTTACGCTTTGTGTTCACAAATGCGTAAAACGATTTGGGATTAGAAACTATATTGAGTCGAACCCTGTTAATATAATTATTGTAACACTTTTTGTTCAATACATTGTATTTATGCCTAAGAATGGAGTACGCGGAGTAGTGAGAAGACAAGCCAGATTTTTTAAAAAGCTTAAATGCTTTGGATTTTTGATTTTTTAAGCGTTTCAATTCGCCAGTAAACCACTGAGCGTTAGACGTTACGTTAGCTTCCTTAACAAGAGGAATGATTTTACTGAAAATGTGGCGTAAGGAATTGCTAAAATGTAAGGCACTATCTTCAGCATTCCCATCATACTGGGGCCAAGTTATCTTCGATATCTCTAACCTAAGTTTATTATAATCTGCTGTTTTAAATGAGTAACGCTCCGCTCTTGATTTTTTACTGATAAAGCAACATGAGTTGCGTGAATTTATCAAGGACAATTCTAGTGGTGGGTGGTGAGAATCAACAGGGGTAATCAAAGCATAGCTAGGGGCTATTGTGACGTTGGAAACATCGTCCACAAAAACTAAATCCAGACATTTACCTAAGTTATTACTAACAGAGTTGATCTGGTAAAGACTAAGATCTGACAGATCGTTCAAAAATTGATTGAAGAGATCACGAGAGGAATTTGGTACTAGAATACCATCTATTAGATCCCAAGAAACACCCGCAAGATTGAAGTCACCCAGGACAATAACAGTATCGGAGGGCTTCACCATGGCATGTAGAGAGAGCAGTAAGGAGGAGTGTTTTAAATAAACTGAAAGGCTCGAGTTAGGTAGTATATAAGCAGCAACAAGATAAACGCTAT